TTCTTCTTCTTCTTTCTTCTTCTTCTTCTTCTTCTTCTTCTTCTTCTCTCTTCTTCTTCTTCTTCTTCTTCTTCTTCTTCTTCTTCTTCTTCTTCTTCTTCTTCTTCTTCTTCTTCTTCTTCTTCTTCTTCTTCTTCTTCTTCTTCTTCTTCTTCTTCTTCTTCTTCTTCTTCTTCTTCTTCTTCTCTTCTTCTTCTTCTTCTTCTTCTTCTTCTCTTCTTCTTCTTCTTCTTCTTCTTCTTCTTCTTCTTCTTCTTCTTCTTTTCTTCTTCTTCTTCTTCTTCTTCTTCTTCTTCTTTCTTCTTCTTCTTCTTCTTCTTCTTCTTCTTCTTCTTCTTCTTCTTCTTCTTCTTCTTTCTTCTTCTTCTTCTTCTTCTTCTTCTTCTTCTTCTCTTCTTCTTCTTCTTCTTCTTTCTTCTTCTTCTTCTTCTTCTTCTTCTTCTTCTTCTTCTTCTTCTTCTTCTTCTTCTTCTTCTTCTTCTTCTTCTTCTTCTTCTTCTTCTTCTTCTTCTTCTCTTCTTCTTCTTCTTCTTCTTCTTCTTCTTCTTCTTTCTTCTTCTTCTTCTTCTTCTTCTTCTTCTTCTTCTTCTTCTTCTTCTTCTTCTTCTTCTTCTTCTTCTTCTTCTTCTTCTTCTTCTTCTTCTTCTTCTTCTTCTTCTTCTTCTTTCTTCTTCTTCTTCTTCTTCTTCTTCTTCTTCTTCTTCTTCTTCTTCTTCTTCTTCTTCTTCTTCTTCTTCTTCTTCTTCTTCTTCTTCTTCTTCTTCTTCTTCTTCTTCTTCTTCTTCTTCTTCTTCTTCTTCTTCTCTTCTTCTTCTTCTTCTCTCTTCTTCTTCTTCTCTTCTTCTTCTTCTTCTTCTTCTTCTTCTTCTTCTTCTTCTTCTTCTTCTTCTTCTTCTTCTTCTTCTTCTTCTTCTTCTTCTTCTTCTTCTTCTCTTCTTCTTCTTCTTCTTCTTCTTCTTCTTCTTCTTCTTCTTCTTCTTCTTCTTCTTCTTCTTCTTCTTCTTCTTCTTCTTCTTCTTCTTCTTCTTCTTCTTCTTCTTCTTCTTCTTCTTCTTCTTCTTCTTCTTCTTCTTCTCTTCTTCTTCTTCTTCTTCTTCTTCTTCTTCTTCTTCTTCTTCTTCTTCTTCTTCTTTCTTCTTCTTCTTCTTCTTCTTCTTCTAATCTTCTTCATCTTCTTTGTGTTCATTGGCTTTGAACTTCGCCTAAAATTGTGGTTTTTCACCTACTTCTGGACTCTAGTCATGTTAAAAAAGCTGAGGTTTGAATGCACATCCGTTTCACAGGTCTGACTTATTTCCATGCAGACTGTTGATTCCCAGGCTCTAAGGCAGATGTATTTCATGTCTACGCCAATTTGCCCAATCCTGGATTACTGGCAGTTCTGGGTGTGTCCCAATCAACAAGTCACATCTGCTATGATTTAGGACGCCTAGGCCGATCACTGCATAAAAAAAATGACTTGCAATTTTTTTTTTTTTTTTACTGATGACTATATTCACCTCCCATCCAGTAAAATATATTAAAGATGGAGGGTTTATAGCTTACTGAATGTGAATCGAGATTCGCCGGTCTTCAGAGTAAGCTGCCTGAGATTTGGTCACCTGCTGTGTCAGAGGGAGTTCAGATCCGAGCTTATCCTCAGGTATACGCGAGCCCTCCAAATCCTAATCCTGAAATTCATATTGGAAAGTCTAAAAGGTATCTCATAGATACAGATGAGATGTTCCTCGTGCACCGTAAATTACTGCGCAGGGCTTCGTTTTGCAAATACTCAAGTCTTGCAGTCTGAGTATTGCTGACAATGAAAATAAGTAAAAAATCCAACCCTTTTCAAAGCCTTCATTCGTACTGGGTATATAGGACTAGGCCCATATTTTCAAGACCAATAGGCTCTTGGCCAGACCTTCTGGTTACACCCAAATGCATCTCCAGGCCATAATAATCTTCTGTCTCTACTGATTCCGATGCCTGTTCCCAAAGGGACTTAACCACATCTGCCTTTTCATGTATCAATTCACCACCTATCGGTGCAGATCTAGCCAATCTGTTTGCATGTTCTTACCCACCATGCCGGCATGGCATTTTATTTCATATCACTTCCTTTAATATCAGTTCTCCTCTAACCTTCTCACCTTGGCTCTCATAACATCCATTGTTTGTTGTTTGTTTTGTTTTAGTATCCAGAAGCCATGAGTTGTTAACCCTTAGGCTCGGTATTATGGATATCGCAACCTTTCCGCCTTGATTCCATTGTAAATACCGTAAATCTGGGAGAAAATGTGGCTTTCCTGCCTACCCCCGGGATTGAACCCGGACCACAAGGAGTACGTCACCCGGTCTCCGCGAAATCCGGTTTAGCCAATTCCGCTAGAGAGCAGGGCCATAACATCCATTTACTGTTATGTTTTCCTTGTCTTCGAAACTGCTGTATAGATAGCTCTTCTGGTTTGTTAATCGTCTGTATTCTACAGGGAGTTTGGAAAGCCTCAATACACTTTGTGTACAGAAAAAATGTGAAAACGAATGCAAACTATTGAAAGTAAATGTTCTATCATATATCACTCCTGTCGCGTGCCTGATTTAAGGATTTCTCCTTAAGAACCAACAGCACTCTGAAATAATTATGTTGAGTCGTTGGCGCGTATTGGTCTAAGGGATGCCAATATACGCTCAACTTATTTCAGGAGTAGGGCAACTCAAGTATTGGCACTACAAAATATATAATATTCCTAGGCACACTTGGCTGGACACGCCCACTACTATAAAAAGATAGCCCCCAGGTTATGATAGTTTACTATCATAACCATGTTAACACAGATAACAATTATTTAATTGAACATACATGTATTTTAGACAGCTAAGAACAATGAATGAGTGACACTCCAGTCAATTGTGAAACTTTAGAAATACTGTAATACGTGTAACACATACATTATATAAGAATCAGCAAAGAACTTCAAGAACCCAGAGTGATATGAAGGACCAAACTTCAACTCGATCTTGAATTGACTGAACGTGTATGAATGTTCCAAAGTCTGCATTTCTCATCCTTATGATCAGTGTGGACATTTAATAGTGAAGCCCAGCAATAAACCCATGATTGACTACACTTATCTGAATACTTGGTTTCTTGAACTGGCTGGATGTTCAGTCACTCTGTTGTTATGTTCAAGACAGTCCCACACTAGACACTCGAGCACTGGAGATACACCCAAGCTCCTGGAGAGGATCTCAGATACCAAGTCAAACACTTGAGGCCCAAACAAACTGCCGGATAATTGATGGTGGAGGTACAACACCCATAATGTTGTCTGTGGACCAACTGGAGGATTTCATTAGTTGGTGACCACAATAAGGTTCGCCATCTGCTGCCCACCACTGGCTTAGACATAGGTGACTTCCTTGTAGGTGGTTTTGTGGACTGCTGATTCACTGCCTGGCTTCCAAGGAGATATCATCCTGTATCAAGAAGGAACTCAGAATTAGCAGTCATCTCAGGTGTTACATGTCAAGCTTAGTTTATTAACAGCCACATTAGTAATCATTCAGAGGACAGCTCTGAGGATAATGAGACAGTATAAGTCTCTACATATCATCTCTATTGTTCAGTCAGTAACAGTGACAGGAGATGAGTGCCAGAGTGGGGACAAATAAACTATAAAACAGAGAACATCAACTCTCCTCGCCCACCCGCACTAGCAGACACACAACACATCTCTCTCTCACATATATATATATATTTTTCATACCATCCCCCGTCTGTTTACCGTACACACTTTATTGTGCTACAATTAACCTTTGACCCAGAGCGCCAAGCTTGCTTTTGTCACAGCAACAAGCCGGCCAAAGATGATCCAGTTTACCTGTGTCTATTAGTCGATGCAAATCCTACGTTTGGTTATAGAATAATTACTTGTAGGGTTTAATATCTTTACAAATGGTGTGGGATATTTAGAGCACAAACTATTTAGTTTGTACAGGGAAAGGTCTAAGGTTCGGATCCTGATCTCTGGACATCAAGAACGTTCGAACTCGGTGCGATCACACAGCTGATTCTGCCCTTCCTGCAGCAGTGACCAACTTTAAAAAGACATCATTTATGGTACTCGTAAACTATAATCAACTTACCCAAGCTTAGGAAATGTCCTAGACACTACAGGCCACCTCCTCAAAGCATAGATGTACGAGGCACAGTTAAGAACATCTGTTCTTCTAGGCAGTCAGGCATTAAATGCCCGCTTCAAACTACGTTTAGCGTCACAAGGAAAGAAGTTCCTTGTATTCCTTAACAAGGAGTAAACCGGTTGACAGGAATTTCTAAATAAAATACCATAATTCGCCAACCTACAGTTGCAAGTTTGAAAATGATGATATATCAAAGCAACTAGAAGGTCTAGAAAGGACTATTTTACCAGATAAAGGTATAGATCAATATAAGGGACTATATACCTTTCCGGACAGGTCTAAGTTTGAAATTTTGCTGAGTGCGAGGGATATCAAGTCCCGGCTCGCCCACTGTGTACGGTGGCTGCTCATCTCATGACATATGCCTATTAAAACATCAAACAGCCACCAAAGCTGTGGCTGGTTCTGCAACGGTCTCTAAAGGATATGCAAACTAACTTTTTCTTCTTTTCTGGAAGACGGTTCTGATTTTTGGAGTGTCTCCTACTTTACCTAATTCACAACAAACTATACTTTATTGTTTGGACACGCTGTAAGGCCTACGCATTGAATGGTTACAATATCACTAGTAATAAATCAACGCACAACGACTTTTTTGGTTTGCAAAGTCTGTATAGTGAGTCGCAATTCATTTTTAAAGACTTCTCAAAACTGTAATATGTAATCGTTTTTTAATTTGCTTTTTAAATTTATTTTATTTTTTCATATTTTATTTACAGATCAGTAAATGAACCAGGGACGTGGGTTTGAAGACGCCGAAATTGATTGTTGGAAAATGGTTCAGTAGAAGCTGTCTGAAGACTCAGCTTTCAGCCATGTCTGGGAACAGTACCAGCACTAACAGCAACACTCTCAGCCCCTTCGACCTCACTGGGATCGGCATGGGGTTCGGTCTCTACATACCCCGGAGACCCAGCTACACATTCGCAACCAAATGCAGCAGACATCGAAACGAAAGTTATCGCTACGCCACCAGACGAGACCACGCCGATTCCACTTCTGAAGTCAGCAATGGCGAGGATTTCATCGAAGGGGTGTTGAGAAGCAAGGCTCGAAAGATCAGTTACCTTAAAGCAACAAAGCGTCACGATGAAGTGGATTCTTCCTCCTCGTCTTCGCCAAAGGTGGGAGTCGTAGTCTGTGACAATACAGTGACTCCAGCAAAGATTGATATGGAGAAAGGATTTGGGCAGCCACGTGAAGTAAACGCACACGGGGCACACAATCAGTGCAGCAAATACACCCTAGAGGGAATTCAATATTCCAGTGATGACAACGCCATATATGAAAGCCAAAACTACGTCAACCACAAATGGGCTGCACATGGTACTATGTCAGCAAACTATTGCCCATCTCCAAATGCCAGCAAATCTCAAACAGAACAGGAGACTCCTGATTGTCCCTTACACCCAGAGAGTTCAAAAAACAAACACGCAGGCACAAAAACGGGCACATCAGTCATGACAATCATTTCATTCAACAAAAATATAGTGGTGTTATGTGTGAGCTTTATTTTAGTATTCTCCTCCTACAGAGCAATTCAAAACTTGCAGTCATCCATGCATTCAGAAGGACATCTTGGAATTCTGACCATGATGGTTGTCCATATTTCTTTAATCGTCGCGTGCCTCCTAGCTCCTATTATAATCAATATCTTTAAAGCCAAATGGGCCCTATGCATTGGTATCCTTTGTTTCCTTATATGGTTCGGCGCCAACTTCCACCCGACATTTTACACGCTTATACCAACCTCATTATTCGTGGGTTTTGGACAAGGAATTTTATGGAATGCCGAAAGCTCCTATATTCTTAAACTAGCATTTGACTCAGCGAAAGCCACCAAGGGTCATTTAGATCAGGAAATGTTTAGATTCCACGGAATATTCCTCGCGTGCTTCCAGACAACTCATATATGGGGGAATCTGATTTCCTCTCTACTTCTATCCCAGCGGGCTAATGAAATTGCCACGGCCAACAATGCTTCTTTCTCACAAACTCTTGTGTTGGGAACTGACTACTACAGTTCCGAGGACTTGTCTAACTTCTCCAGCGATGTCCCAGGGGTGGGTGATGTCTCTATGGGTGACAGCTCTATGCCCGTGCCACACTGTGGTGCGTTACATAGATGCAAAGGTCCAATGATTACCGTTTTTCCAGGCGGATTTGGAGGTGAGTAGTGTCAGCACGTGAATACTCATATACTATTTATTTCTAAATGAGTAACGTTGATTTTTTTCACACATTTGTTGTTCATGCATTTATTTATTTATTAATCATGCTTTTATTTATTGAGTCATTCATTCATGTAGTGTATCACTTATCACTTATAACCTGCATTCACTTTACCTCGTGCACATAGATCCACCGTGCAGACACAGCGAAAACACACCGGGGGGGGGTCGGTGGGAGGGGCCTCATAGACCTTATAAAGTTCGTAGGGCCTAAGCAGCGTGTAAGTACTTTAAATAATAGTAATAATAATTGTAAAAATAATAAGTAGGTTGTTAATAAATATTATACTATATTTGATATAATATATACAGAAAGATGAGAGACACGTTTTTTTTGGTTAAGAAACAAAGAACCTTGGGGTGGGTGGGCAGCTGGGACATACATGGCTTGGGTGGGTGGGCGGCTGGGACATACATGGCTTGGGGTGGGTGGGCGGCTGGGACATACATGGCTTGGGGTGGGTGGGCGGCTGACACAAAAACTGTGTAGAATAGTAAAAAAATATTAGTGGATAAATTCACTCACTCACTCACTCACGTATAAAAATGGTCTGTGGTACAGGAATCCCTGCTAGATTAATATCTAAATTTGATAAGGGCAAACCAAATTACCCGAAAGCCAGTCACAGCCAATTACCTTCTAATGACATGAACGGATCTGACAAGATAAAACCCCTGAGCTGTGGTGCAGAAAAGGTCCTGAATAGTCCTTCAAATGTGAAGCGTCACGACGTAATGAGGTAAACGTGGCTAACTTCCCTCCACAACTCTTTCCCTATCAAGGGGAAGAAACAGAAATTGCGAGGTCCCTTTGTAAGGGAGTTGAAATGATTCAGTTTTTTTTTTGTTAAATTTGTTTTTTTGGGGGAGGGGCGGCGGAGGGAAAGGGGGGGGGGGAGGGATTCTATTTGTCCTAATTGTATTTTTGCGTTGTAATTTTTTCTTCTTTTTCTTCTTTTTCTTGTTATCCTAGTTCTTTTTTTGTTAGGATCCCTATTTATTTGTCATCCACCTCTTCTTCTTCTTCTTCTTCTTCTTCTTCTTCTTTCTTCTTCTTCTTCTTCTTCTTCTTCTTACTTCTTCTTCTTCCTCCTCATTATTCTCTTCCTCGTCCCACTCCCGCTTCTACTCTTGTTCTTTTTCTTTCATACTTTCTTTCTTTCTCTCTTTTACTTTCTTTCTTTCTTATTTTTCTTTCTTTCTTCGCCATTCTTTGTTCTGATTTTTTCTTCTCTACATCTTTTTCTTTACATAACTGAGAAATGCATAGATATCAAGAAAATTTATAAAACCGAACGAAAAGTATATCAGTAAGTTTCACAAGATAACAAACACAAACAAAACGTGAACTTTGCGGTTATGGAGCCTTCATCAGCATGTACATAGATCAAACAATACCACACAAACACACAAACATCACTTAGCTTATTATCTCGAAGCAGCCAGGTCGATGTCTTGTCAGTATACTGACGAGACACATGGGACAGAAGAAAAAATATCCCTGGTGAATTCCAGAGGCCATAACTGGAGGGTTTTTGACAAATGTGTGTAAGCAGTTCAATTCCCTAGGATTTTAGATGAAACTGTGTAGGCAGTTCAGTCCGTTGGGTGTTAATGTGGCCAAATTGAAAATGGAGCGAAATTAAACAGAGTTGCGGACTCTGTAGCTGAAGTGGCTAGATTTAATGGTTGTTATCTCAATGTCGTGGACACCTTAGTGATCCTGGGAACTGAATTGCTATGGTACTAGTTTCAAGGCACCGTTCTGCACATCCAAAATATGTTGTCTGAGCCTTTCGGCCAGTCCTAGACCAGTTTCACAGATGTATTTCATGCCACATCTCTTGCAGTTGATGGCGTAAATGACACGACGGCTCGTGCAGTAGAATACGTCTCGTACGTGAAAGGTGGCATTCGGGAATTCCAGACTTCCCCTGAACCACGTACGGACGTCCTTCATACAGGTCTGTGGCAAGAGATCATGCTGAAGTTGGCTAAGATGTCCTTGAGGTTACGGTCATGTCTGTTGGCCACTAGAGAAAGTTGTGTGGTTAGTGGCAAGGTCAGCCCTAAGAATATAGAGATGCGTAAGGAGAATATTTTTAGCACGGATGTTGGGAGGGTGGTAGGTGAGTATGAGAATAGGTCTGTTGTGGTGCCGTTTAGGCGTGGGAACGAGAGTATCGGCATGATCGATAGACCGTGCTCGGTGAAAGGTGGCAGATAAGAGCGTTCCTTGAAGCCGAAAGAAGACCAGCATTTTGAGGGCCTTGTTACGAAAGTCGTCGTTCTCCTGGTATAGTCTGCTGAGGCGTAGAAGCTGGAAGAAAGGAATGGAGTCCTTGGAGGAAGAAGAATGGGAGGACATTATAGTACACCGAGATGATGAGGTCTTTAGAGTCCACGGTGACAGTGAGATCCCCCCAAAAATGCACAAACGAAGGTTAGATGCTAGAAGTGCATCGAATGCTGGAATGGAATTGGAGGAATAAATGGATGAAGTTCTTCAGTTAAGGGTGAGCATATCGGTGACACCGATACAATCATCAGTATACCTCCTGTAGAGCTCGAGAAGCTTACCGATACATGCATAACGTATCTGGTGCTCGAGGAAGCCCGTGAAGAGGCAGGCATAGCTCGGTCCCATCTTGGTGCCCATAGCGACACCGCTAAGCTGGTTGAAATAGTAGCCAATAAACTCGAAAGAGTTTAGAGTAAGCACTTACTCAGCCAGATGTATCAAAGGGTCAGTAACTATGGCAGGGCTGACTCTCTAATCTAGGAATAACAACAAAGCCTGGAGGCCATCCGAATGTGAAATAGAGGTGTAGAGAGAGTTAACATCTAAGGTGAAGATGCGGTACCTGAAAGAAGAGGTAAACCAGATCGAATGAAAGACAGAGATAGCTTAGTTAGCGTCTTTGATGTAAGATGGAAAACCAACGATCAGGGACTGCAGTCTACGGTCGAGGAACTTGGATATGAGTTCTGTGGGACAAGCGCAGGAGGATACGATCGGTCTGCCTGGGTTGTCAGGTATATATATTTTGAAAGATATAGAATGATGTTATGAGAACGTGAAGTGAGTAGCACGCGGGACAACGGATAAGGCGACTTAGCACAGGCTTTTCAGGGGTTTATGCTGCATTTGAACAAAAAGGATAGTCTGGAGGACTCCTCTGTCCGGATCAAATTTAGACTATAAGACCGGCATGTGAAAATCTAGCCACAGCGCCACTGATAATCTTTGTAGCCGGATAGTGCAGTAGCTACAAGCGTATGTGGCTCCAAGGATCACATTTGACCTTGAATTATAATTTGACCCACATTATAGTGTGTACCATGTAATGTCCTGGGAAGTAAAGGCGACCACAATGATGTTGACCACATCAGACATCACGTATGGATTGTTCTACAGAAATTATAGGTCTAGTACTGTATGTCTCATACGCTATAGACAAAAAAACGAATCATTTACTCGTTTGTTTCTTATATAAATCTTGCCTTGCAACATATTTAACATAGCTGGTAGGGTTGCTGAGGGAGGGGGTCGGGGGGGGGGGGGGTTCATCAAAGTGATCAAGCCTTTCACCTCGCACTTTGAAGTTCGTTAGTTCGATTCACGCCTGTGTCGTTCCGTTCACTGGTAAATTTTTTTTGTAAACGTGACTCTTAAAGATGATCGACTGAGCTACGGTTTTCGTGCTTTGTTCTAGCCATACGGCGGAGAGAGCCCGAGCCATGTGGGATAGAACCCACTGCAATGAAGTGGATCATATCGACTCTAACCTTTAACCCCATTAACATTCACAAAGAGAAAAATAGCTGGATGATTTTACTTGTCGTCTGCAGCATCCAATATGTCTGCAAATGCTAAACAATCAGAACCTAACGATTCTTCATCCATCTCTCTTCTATAAAGAGCGTTTCTTGTAAGTGGCTGAGCCAGTTATCTTCGAGACAGAATCATGGCTCCTAGCCGCATTCACCAAAGTACGTCTCTGTTAAACGAGAGTTCATCCAGGGCACAGTGAAAGTTCAATGTCTGTCGTTTAGGCACAAAGGCCTGACTCTGTCTTCAGATTTCAGTCTGTTCTCTATCAAACACATGACCTCATCTGGCGTTTCTTATGCTGTTTTTATTGCTGATGTGTTGTAGTTCTTCTCTTCTTTTGTCGTCTCAATGATACCAGGTTGTAGCCCAGTAGCAAAGTTTTTCTGTATTTATCTAGCGCTTCTCAATGACTTGGGTGATGGATTTATTTATCTTTTTACAGGTTTCACATATACCATTTATCCATCTCTTTTTTTTATTCTTCCCCTGGACTTCCTCCCTCGTATTCAGCAGTAAAAACAATCTTTTTCTGCGTTGATTTGAAGATGTAATTGCGCTGTGCTCATATACAGCATGGTTGCGACATTTCCGCCTTTCGACCAGCACAAGCGGATTTCTGCAGGCGTTTGTTGACCGGGTTAACCTTGCCTAAGTAAAACAATATCAGTTTTATCTAGCTTTATTGTTACAGAAATCCATGGGAATAGTCGCCAGTGCTACGATGTTAGTACTTTGTGCGACCCTTTTGGTAGGGAGCTATCCGTACTGCGTGGAGAAACCGGGCCATGTGGGATCAATTAAAGTCGATCCTCTCGACTTTAATCTTCAAACCCATCAAAAATGGTGAGTCATTGTGGACTAGCGGCTAGACACTCGCGTGCGGATCGGAAAGTCATGGGTTCGCTCCCTGGCGCATCTATACTTTTTCAAAAATGATATTGACTCTAAGGTCGATCCAGCCTTGGGTGGGTACCGGGTGCAGTCCCGGAAAGTAAAGGCGG